CTGTCATCCATGCTTGATGGCAGCCCCATGGCCTGCTACAATTACTGCCTCTTTATCAGAGAAGTTTGGGCCTCAGGATTTTCAAAGGAAGGTGCAATTCTTCTCCTCCCTGTTCCTACCAGGTCTGGGTTAGATTCACTGCAGAGTTTAGCAGTTATGATCTTGGATACAAAGTGCTTGATCCACATTCCTCAGACCATTGCTAACCTCTTCTCATGGTCATGGCTGGTCAGTTATGTTTTTACTTCCTATATCAAGGAGAACTTCTTCTGACAGTGACTTTGAAATATCAGCTTTGTTTAGCTGTCCTCTCTTCTGTCTTTAATATCAATTACTTGCTAATTCCAACAGCTAGTGTAGTTTCTTGCTCACATAGCTCTAGGCACACTGGTCTTTTTGCTATTCTTAGAATACTCTAATTTATTTCCATCGTAGACCCTTTATAATTCTCTGCCTTTTTGTATTTAAATATAAATATAAACATTTTAATAAATTTTATGTGTGGCCGTGCACTGAAGAAAAGGTTCTCAGACACCAGACTGAGTGGACATGCAGCCTGCCTCTGTGAGAGAACAGCAGCAGCTGGGGTCTGCAAATAGTCTTTATATTATGTTTTATTAGGTATAAACATCAAAGAGCCTCAAAGCATGAGAGGGAGCACAAAGGGTCTTAGACATTAACCAAACATACATCTGGTTTTACGTGAAGGCATAAAGGGAGTGTGTGTGGTTTTAAGGAATGTCAGGGAGTTACAGCAGGTGCTGTATTTTAACTGTCCTCTGGGAGATCACGGGGCTCTGCATCTCATAATGCTATTGGGTTTGACAGTCTTGAGACCAGAACATTGCTGATGTTTCAGCTATTGCCCCATTCATCCTTCAGGACTTATAATACATGCTCTAGAAATAAGTCCACATTTATATAAATATAAAATATAATCCCCTTCCTTTAATTTTTTTGGAAAATTCCTTATTATAAAGGTCTTCCCTGCCTACAGACTACCTGGACATTTAGCACTGTCTTAAATAATTAATCACTTACTTTTCTATTGTCTGTTTCTCCCACCAAAATGTAAGTTAAAAGCATAGTCTTTTGTTGTTTTGTCTACTAGCTTCCTAAAGTGGAAACTATGCCTGGAAATAGCACATTCAATGTTATTTATGGAATGGGGGAATACTCCTCCACCCACACAATTTTGGCCCATCTAACTTCTGCTTGTTCTTTAAGACAGCTAAGTCAGCCCCTCTGGAAAATTATCCACGGTTCTCCATCCCTTCAGGGCCATTCCAGGGATCCCTCTTTTCCTTATAACAAATTTTCCATGATATATTTTACTCTGTGTTCGGCTCAGGTCATGATCTCATGGTTCGAGGCTTTGAACCCTGCATCAGGCTCTGTGCTGGCAGCTCAGAGCCTGGAGTCTTTGGATTCTATGTCTCCCTCTCTCTCTGCCCCTCCCTGGCTCACACTGTCTCTCTCTCAAAAATAAACATTAAAAAATTAAAAAAAAAAGAATGAAAGTAACTAAAGTTTATTGTGAGCTGAAAAACATGCTAATAATTTTATTTGAAACTTTCATATATATCATATATTTAAATTGTGTAGAGATCCTTTTGGGTTAGGCATTGTTATTGTTAGATTCATTTTAATTGAAAATTGAGGTCATATAAGGAAAATAATTTTCCTAAGTCACACAGAACGTAGAACTTTCTAAACCTGACTCCAGGTGTAGTATACTTTCTAATGTATCACAAAAACGTTTAAATTTGCTATAAGATATAAGAAAACATGACTCCTATATGAGGACTAAAATTGCAAGTACACAGCATAGATATAGATTCCAGCTGTAGAGCTGTATGCATGCTTTGGAATTTGCTGTGGCTGTATGGTTTTCCTGAAGTTTTGCGTGTACGCAGCACCCAAGACACTCACACACGTCCTCTATTTTATTCTATTTGTTTTGCATAAGTACCTTTGGATCTTCCACATGTAACACCCAAAGTTCACATATACCTTATCACTGAAGAAACAGCTTTCTCATGTCAGACAGAATGAGGCACTGGTGGGAGAAGGCATAACCTGTCAAGAGTTAAATGTCAGATATGCCAGATAGCCTCAGATAAGTCCAACCTCAAATGAGAACTGACTCCACATAAACCTTGTAGTAGAGGTTTTGTCTTTGGCCCTTTGCCACTCCCCTTCTTGACCCTGCACTGTGCAGAAACATGACCCCCTCAATCTTTCCTCCAGATGCTCAAAACCTTCCTTAGCAGCATTTTAACCTGGCTGCTTTCCTCACAGATACCTCAAAGGCAAAATTAATAATACTATATTGACATACATTACTCAAAAGATAATTTTAATTAAGTTTTTAATTTTAATGCCAATATAGTTGACATAGAGTGTTGTATTAGTTTCAAGTGTACAATATAGTGATTCAGCAATTCAATACATTACTCAGTGCTCATCATGATAACTGTCCTCTTAATCCTCTTCACCTGTTTCACCCACTGCCCCCCAACCACCTTCCCTCTGGTAACCGTATTTGTTCTCTGTAATTAAGAGTCTGTTTCTCGGTTTGTCTCTCTTCTTTTTTTCCCCTTTGTTCTTTTGTTTTATTTCTTAAATTCTGCCTGTGAATGAAATCATATGGAATTTGTCTTTCTCTTACTGTCCTATTTTGCTTAGCATTATACACTCTAGCTCCATTCATGTTGTTGCAAATGACAGGATTTCATTCTTTTTTATGGCTGAATAATATTCCATTGTATATGTATATATATGTATACCACATCTTTATCCATTTGTCTATTGATGGGCACTTGGGCTGTTTCCATAATATGACTATTGTAAATAATGCTGCTATAAACACAGGGGTGCATGTATCCCTTTGAATTAGTGCTTTTGTCTTTTTTGGGTAAATACCTAGTAGTGTGATTACTGGATCATAGGGTAGTTTACTTTTAACTTTTTGAGGAACCTCAATACTCTTTTACAAAGTGGCTACACCAGTTTGAATTCCCACCAGCAGTGTAAGAGAGTTCTTATTTCTTCACAACCTTGCCAGCACTTATAGTTATTGGTGTTTTTTATTCATTTATTATTATTATTTTTATTTTAGAGAGAGTGAGAACAAGGGAGAGTGGTAAAGGGAGAGAGAGAGAATCCCAAGAAGGCTCCATGCTCAGTGCAGAGCCCAATGTGGAGCTTGATCCCATGACCTTGGGATCATGACCTAAACTAAAATTGGGAGTTGGGTGACCAACCAACTAAGCCACCCAGGAGCCACCTTGTGTTTTTTATTTTAAATATTCCAACAGGTGTGAGATGATATATTGTTATAATTTTGATTTGTATTTCCCTGATGTTGAGCATCTTTTCATGTGTCTGTGGCCATCTGTATGTCTTCTTTAGAGAAATGTCTATTCATGTCTTCTGCCCATTTTTAACTAGATTATTTGGGTTTTGGCTGTTGATTTGTATCAGTTCTTTATATATTTTGGATACTAACCCTTTATCATATGTGTCATTTGCAAATATCTTCTCCCATTCCATAGGGTGTCTTTTAGTTTTGTTGATTGCTTTCTCTGCTGTGCACAATCTTTTTATTTTGATATAGTCCCAATAGTTTATTTTTGTTTTTATTTCTTTTGCCTCAGGAGACATATCTAGAAAAACGTTGCTATGGTTGATGTCAGAGAAATTACTGCCTGTGCTCTCTTCTAGGATTTTTATGGTTTCAGGTCTCACATTTAGGTCTTAAAAGATAATTTTTTTTCTAGGTCAATGTGGTGGAAAATTGTAATGGACAGATAAGAGGGTATAAGGAATTATCTCTTTTTGGTTCACTGACACTTCCAATATCTTCAATCCCTCAATTTTTTTCTACTTATCACTTCCCCTGCTTCCACCCTAATTTTCTCTACTTTTTCCTGACTTGCTAGGAACAATGACAACAAAAACAACTTCAGATATTTCTCTGGATATATTGTTCTCTCTCTCACCTCTGCCTCAGCTTTGCACATACCATTCCTTCAGATTAGACCATAATTTTCCGGTTTGACTGCCTAACTCTTATATATCCTGTCAGGCTGGCTACTGTATCAACTCAAGGAAATCTTTCTTGACACTCTGTTGTCCCACCTGGAAGAAGATATTTCTCTTTTTGCTTCTATATTAACTTCTTTTTTACTTTGAGCAACACAGTTAACATATGGCTGTATAATAAACCACCCCCAAATTTAGTGTCTTAATAAACAAACAAACAAATAAACAAACAGTTATTTAGCTTGCAGATCTGCAGTGTGGGCTGGGTTCGATTGATTATTTTATTGGATATCACCTGGAAATGCAGGAAAAATGGGGGTTGGAATAATATGAAGATTTTTTCACTCACTAGTAGTTGATAAATTTCCAGCTAAGGCTTAGACTTTAGCTTGGTCTGGGACATCTGTACGTTGCTTCTCCATGTGGTCTCAGCTTCTCAGTATGGTGGCTGTGTTCAAAAAGCAAGCATTGAGTGAGATAGGGGTGGATATATAAACAGGGAAAAAAAGAGGGAGAAAAAATGAGTTTGGGGAAGTATATACCAATGAAAAACATATAATCTTTTATGACCTAGCCTCGAGAGTCTTGCAAGATCACTTCCACAACATTCAATTCATTGAACCTGTTACAAAGTCCTACCCTGTTACGAGGGGAAGAAAAAAAACAGACTGTCTCTCTTGATGGGGGAATGACAAATTTCTGGAAGAGAATGTAGGATTAGAAATACCTCTGTGGCCATTTTTGTAAAATACAATCTGCCATGTCATACTGCATTGTGTTTTCCCCCCACCAGAATGATAGTTCTGTAAGAGCTGTGACTTCTTGATCATTTCTGTGTGTATTTGTTGAGTAAATAAATAATTGTTTTCTCCACTTCATACACATTAGATATTATAAAGGCTAGAGGAATAAGGGTATACTGAAGGAAATAGTACCTCTAAGACTAGACCCAGCTAACAACAAAAGACATGGGCCACACGATCTCGGATCTGTTTGGTCTTCACACTATAGACTATGGGGTTCATCAGGGGAGGGGCTAGAAGGTACACAAAGCCCATGATCACTTGGACAAGATGAGGTGCCTTGTTCCCAAACCGGTGGATGATGGACAAACCAATCATGGGAGTGTAGAAGAGGAGCACAGCACATATATGGGAAACACAGGTGTTGAGAGCTTTGAATCTCTCAGCCCTGGATGCAATAGACAGCACAGTACGCAGGATCAGGGCATAGGAGAAGAGAATGAGCAGTGAGTCTACACCCACTGTTGAAACAATGACAAACATGCCATAGATGCTGTTGGCTTTGATGTCTGCACAGGCCAATTTCATTACTTCTTGATGGAGACAATAGGAATGTGAGAGAAGTGCAGAGCCACAATAGGAGAATCTTTTGAGCATAAAAGGCAATGGGAAAATGAGTGCTACACTGCGACCCAGGGAAACCAGGCCAATCCTGCCAATGACTGTGTTGGTGAGAATGGAAGCATAGTGCAAGGGGCGACAAATGGCCACAAAGCGGTCAAAGGCCATAGACAGCAGCACAGAGGACTCTAGGAAGGACAAACAGTGAATGAAAAAGAGCTGGGCAAAACAGGCATCGTGACCAATATCTCGCGCCCCAATCCAAAAGATGCCTAGCACTGTAGGGAGGGTGCAAAGAGACAGACCCAGGTCAGTGACAGCCAGCATGGACAGGAAGAGGTACATAGGCTCATGGAGTGAGGGCTCTGTTTTAATGATAAAAAGGATAGTACAGTTGCCCAGGATGGAAACCAGGTAAATGAAGCACAATGGGATGGAGATCCAGATGTGCATGTGCTCCAGCCCAGGAATGCCACTCAGCAGAAAGGTGGAGGAAATGTTGCTGCTGCTTTCCAAGGGTCCCAAAGACATTGTGTGTGGAGGGAAGAGGAAAATTGGATTCCTTCCAAATTCCTGAAATGAATTCAGAAAAAAAGCTAGAGGTCGAACCTGGGAAGAAATTAGAAACCAAACCAAACCAAACCAACACAACAACAACAAAAACTAACAAACAAAACAAAACAAACAAAACAAAACAAAACAAAAAAACATGAGAATCAAGTAGACCTAGAAGTGTACATCTCCTCCAGAGGTCACTTCCTTCTGGTCTCTAGCCTTCTTTCCACATTGTTTTAGAAAAAATGTTTTTCTTTGAATTCTTTTCTCCTTTCTCCTTCAGGATGAGAGGTCTGAGCATCTACAGTATTCCTGTTGGTTATACTAATTTTGCCTACCTCTTTTGAGGAGATCTTTAATTAAACACTCCTCACCTGCCTCTTTTCTGCCAGAACTCTCACTAATGTTCTAACCTTTCTTTCAACTTCTCTGTCTTTCCTTTCTCTTACCTTACTTCCTTTGCTATTCCTTTGTCATTGTCCATTCTTCCTTCCTTTCTCCCTCTCTCCTCCCTACCTCCCTTCCCTCCTCCTTCTCTCTCTTTCTCTCTTCCTTTTTTCCAATCTCTTTCTTCTTCTTTCCTTCCTCCTTCCTTCTTTCTTTCTTTCTTTTGTTCTTTTGTTCATTCTTTCATTTTTTGCCTTTCTTTCTCTTTTCTTTTTCTCTTTCTTTCTTTCTTTCTTTCTTTCTTTCTTTCTTTCTTTCCTTTCTTCCCTCTTGATTATCTTCAGCAGCCACATATAATTTCTAACCTTAGACACAGATTAATCCTTCACTCACCTTCTCCTCTGGTCTTCCAGTCGTGGAAGCCTAGTTTGATCCAGATAGCTCACATGTGCTACTCAGCTCACAGAATTCCAGTAAGGACTGGGGAGTGAATGAATGGCTGTCTGTAAAGTTATTCTTGATTGCTGAAGTGCCATATCAAAGCTCTGATTCTCCTGTGAATCAGTAACCTGCATTCCCTGGAGATCTAGAGTTCAACTTCTATCAACCTAGGTGAGAGAAAAGGCTGAAGCACCATCAACCATGGCCACATCCACAATTGCAAGGCAGAGTCCGTGAGAGTCCACAGAATAGAATGCAATATGCCAGTAGGATTTATTCTTCCTTAGATTAAAAAATGAAGGTTCATGAGAGGACAGTCACTGGGCAGAAGTCTTATGCCAATTTAAGACTCCTGACTTTCAAAGCAGTGATCTGCCCACTCCCACTTAATAATTCCACTAGAATGTGAGCTCAAAAATGGCAGAGGCTTGGCTTTGCTTACTTCTGTAAAGACAGTGCTTATAATGGCTATGGTATACAGTAGGCACTCAGAAATTGTTTTATGCATGGTTAAGAGCTAAATTTATTTAGTTAGCTGTTAGTAACTCAGTGCATATTTTATCACTTAAAGAAAATCCTATGAATTGGGGCTCCTGGGTGGCTCAGTCAGTTAAGTGTCCAACTTTGGCTCAGGTCATGATCTCAGAGTGTGAGTTCGAGCCCTGTGTCAGGCTCTGTACTGACTGCCTGCTTTGGATTCTGTGTCTCCCTCTCTTCTGCCCCTCCCTGACTCGTGCTTTCTTTCTCTCTCTTTCAAAAATAAATAAACACTACAATTTTTTTTAATCCTGTGAAAAAAGTTCTATTAATAGTACCATATTATAAATGAAGAAATAGAGGATTAGAGACAGTTAATATATCTAAGATCAAAGATACAGTAAATGGCCAAAATGAGGTTTGAACTAATATCCAGTTATTCTCTAGATTCCAGGCTCTCAACAAACATTATACTTTCTCCCCACATACAGGACTATTCATTGTCAGCTAGAAGCAGCTAGCATAATATCAAAGGCTTAATAGACCTTCAGAAAAGTACTGATTCTTTAGCTAAACTAATAAAGTGACTGGAGAAATACACACCCTCTCTCACTCCAAACACCAGTGACATTAATAGCCAGTGTCATTAACTCACTGTCCACCTGAAGGTCAGATTGGCTCTTGTGTGTTGTTCCTCAGGTTCTACTTCAGCCATGATCAGTGGTCACCACATCATTCATCAAAATGAATTCAGAAGAGCTGTGATAAACTTACCTGTCGGGGACAGGCAAGCTACCTGGTGATTAACGATATAATGCATAAAACTTAAGGCAGAATATGTTTTGACATGAAAACGAAGTAGGGTAGTGAAGAAAGAATATATATTACTTAATAATATAAAAGTTAATTTATAATACATGATGAACATCTATTATTTTCCAGGCACTGTACTAGGAGCACTGCAAAAGAAATAGCATTTAGATCTTAGAAAAACCCTGCAAGTTAATATTATTACCTCGATTTGCAAATGAGGAGAGAAGCTTACAGAATTTGATGATGTGCATAAAATCATACTATCAATCAGTGACAGCTGGAATTCAAACTGAAATCTCTGGAGCTCCAAGGAGCATTCTGAAAGTTTGGAAGCATTTAGTTTAATATAGCTGGGTAGTTTTTTTAAGCTGAGACAGCCTGAAATGAGTGAAGATTGAATGACAAAAATAGAGGGAAATATCAAAAGTCTTTTTTCCCCACCTTCTTTTACCTCAAGATAGACTCTCTTCAGAGTTTGTGCCTCACATTTTAAAGGGAGTAGGGCAGAGTAAGAATCAGAGAGAGAGAGACAGAGAGACAGAGAGAGAGAGAGAGAGAGAGAGAGAGAGAGAGAGAGAGTTATGAGAATAAGTTGAAGGAAAGGACTTGGATATAAAAGAAAATCCAGAATAGTGAAGCCAAGAGATATCTGCCTGGGAAGGACCACCTTTAGCCTGTTGGCCAGAGAGATCTTAGTAAGGTAACTCTTCTAAGGGGTTCTTATTTAAAGGTCTTCAGAGTATCCATTTTCAGATTTGGTGAGGATTTCATTGTTCTTGACCAGTTCAAGTGTAGAGGGGAGTGGTAAACTTAAATGGCTTGCTCACAATTGTTCTTGGAGAACACTTCCTAGAGGTACTTGCACAAGTTCAATGGCTGCTTCTAATTCTATCACTCAGACTCTGTGGTTGCTCAGGAAAATGTCCTTTCATGTCACAGACAAGCTTTTCTTTCAGAGGATCACTTGACTTCCTACCCCTCTGTCTCTGCTTCTTGGAATTAACTCCTGATTCTGCTAACCTTGTGTCTGAGGCTAAGGAGTAGAGACTGAACTTATAGCTAATCTCATTCTTGCATCTTGGTTTTGCTTGCCTAACTTGTCTGTCTCTGTGGGTCTCAGTAATACTCTTATGTTGCCACATATGAGGCAACTCTCTGGGCTAGAAGTCAATGAAGTGAATGGGTGTGAGAAAGCTGCTGTCTCCCTACTAAGCTAGTGCTAAAACTAGACGTGGGATCTCATGAAGTTAGTGAGATCTGACTGCAATGGTCACCACCTTCTGCAGGCATCTTCTACAGCCTTTCTTGTGCTTCAAAGTCCCTTCTCTCCTCTCCCTCTCCAGAGCTCAGACTGAGCCTTCTAGGACCTCTTCTTGGCTTCACAACTGAGCACCAGACACCTGACTTACCTATCAAGGCTAGGTGCAGAGACTTCAGTTCTTGTGACAGGGGAGAAGGAAAGTTAAAACCAGAGACTCTGGAGGGTATGGAGAGACTGAAGGATGGATGTTGAATTCCTTGATTTTTATGAAACTTCCTGAGGTCCCCATTGAGACCATTTCAAGAATCTTTCATCAATTCCCTAGGAGGACTGGTTTTCTGGACCTCATTATCTCATACTCTGGGGATAAGGGAAAGAAAAGAAGGGAATAGTTTTGTGAGATATCTAAATGGGAATCCCAGGAGATGTTACACACTGTAGCTACTTTTTGAAGATATCGTGAAATATTTTGAACAGCTCCACAACTTTAGGAAACCAGAGTGGGTGTTGTTGATAATGTTTTATATATGATGTATCATAACCATATAGTTATGCATATCAGAAGTGACAGTGTATATGGTGGGTATATATAACATTAAAAGGGCATTTTTAATTCAATTCTTCTCCCATCACTAAAGGGGAAGAAAGGAACACCACATTCCTGGAAATATGGTGATAATGTTGATTCTTGGTGCCCCAAGTAACCCTATATGCTGCTGACTCCTGTCTATACTCAGGGACCCTTGTCTGTACTCCATCTCCTCTTCCTGTCTCTGATCCACACAGACACAGAATTCAGCCCTTTGTTTCTAGACGTTAAGGAGCTACCTTCAGAAAGGAATTCATTTTTGTACCTTTTGGGCAACATGAGCCCCTGAAAAGCATAGGTAAACCAAGGAGTTTCATATGTCAATACAGGGATCTGAAGAATTAATTATCCATTTTGGACTTTAAAAGCTGATGGGAAAGATATTTTAGAAAGAGGAAAGGAGGGCCATTTCAGTGTTTTCATTACCCATGTAATTAGTATCCAGCTTATTGACTCTACTTTGAGAATACAAAGGTATAAATATTAAGGAATGTCTCAGATCCCCACACCAACCATAAAAGGTTTATTCCAATTCATTGGCCTGATGGGCCCCCTTGGAATGTGCTGGGCTTCCTCTTGTGGTTTCATTCCATTAATCTTTGGTCAAACACATTGTAGACACATCCGAGTGTTATGTAGCAGTATTTCTCAAATCAGAGTCCCCCGATAATCAGGATCAGAACCACCTGTAATGCTTATTAAAATGCAGATTTCTGGGCCTCATCCCTGTAGTGCAGAATCAGAAACTGACATTAGTCGCAACCACAAAGGTCTAAGAATTCTTATATATCCTTGTCTTTATGATTTGTTTTCAGCTCTGATTCCAGAATATTTTATTCCCTCTATAATAAAAAAAAATGTATCACTTTTAACCTGGAATCCATTTCAAAACACAGTTACCTTTTATATTAATTTTCTGGCGCCACTAATACAAAATGCCACAGACTGGGTGGCTTTAACAATAGAAATTTATTTTTTCACAGTTCTGGAGGCCAGCAGAGCCCAAAATCAAAGTGTTGACAGGTTCGGTTTCTTCTGAGGCCTCTCTCCTTGGCTTGCAGATGGCCATCTTCTGTGTGTCCTCATATGGCCTCTCCTCTGTGCATGAGTATCCTTGATGTCTCTTGCTCTTCTTATAAGGACATGAGTCATATTGGGTTAGGGCAAACCTTAAATGCCTTGTTTTAACTTCACTATCTCCTAAAGGCCTTTACCTCCAAATACAGTCACATTCTGAGGAACTGGGGGTTAGGACTTCAGTATAAATTGGGGGAGGGTGCACAATTCAGCCAATAGCATCTGTTTATCCATGCATCCTATCACCCACTTTTTCACTTATTTAACAAATGTTTTATAACATAAATAATACCTCCTCACACACTCCCCCACAAAAATACACAAGCAATATTTATTTACCATCTCTGAGTCCAAGCACTGAGAAGAGAGAGATAGTGTTAGATATGTTTTGGAAGAAAATAGGTCTGAATCTCAGATTTTGTGAAGAGAAACAGAGGGAGGGAGGGAGGAAGAGAGAGAGGGTGAGAGAGAGAGAGAGAGAGAGACAGAGAGAGAGAGAGAGAGAGAGAGAGAGGGAATTAATCTTTGAACAGTTTATTACAGGGAAGATATCCTACATGATTTACATCTTAACTATTCAGCTCTGTGAGGGGAAAAACAGGACATGATATGGGGAGAGACAAAAGAAATAAAAACTCATATCTCCTATCACAGAAAAGAATAGGAAAAGAAACAAGGTAGGGGCAGAATGAAGGGAATAACTTGTACGTAAAGATGCTGCCTTGAGGAGACACCAGCTAGGAGAAACTGAAAGGACCTTAAAAGAATATTATTGGATTGTATTTAGACAAACTGATGCAAAAATTAGTGTTTTTCTTTTAAGTATGGTTTTAAAATATTTTTATTGCATTTTTCCTGTGATAATTAGTTGGTAGATATTTATGAATAAGAAAGATGATTAGAAATAAAATAAGTAACATCTTTCCCCCTGCACACCCTAGTTGTGTGAGTAAATTTGATGCCCATCCATATTCACCTAACACCTAAAATGTATATTTCCCAGGAATATCCCATGCTGTTTTAGATCTACTTTTTTTTTACCTTTGTCGCCACTGAGGCATTAATCTAAAGTGTTAGTATATGTGGGAAAACTAGAGTTCAAAAAGTCTCAACAGCACAATGCCAAAAGTTTATGTTTTGAGATCCAACAGACCTTAATGTGGTTTGGGGCTTTCCGTTTATTACACGTGATGTTGGTTATAGTAACTTACCTCATTGAACTTCCTATCTAAAAGAATTATATGAGAACTTGCTATCTTGAATGGTAATATAGCACTAAATGAAAATAGTTTGAGAAATTAAAATTTCAACAAAATGATTGATATTCAGTATTGTAGTAAGTACATAAACATCATGACCATTTAAAAATGTGTCTTATAAGGATGCTTTTCAATTAACATTCCTGAAGTAGGCATACCTTTTTCACTCCTACTGCAGTCTTTTCTACCCTATTGAAGTGTTTGGGAGGCCATTCTTCACAAATAAACAGAAGGCAATTCTTGGGATGGATCCTAGGTCATAGTTCTGCATTAAAAAAAGCTCATAATTTTGATGTATCAATAATCAAATAATCAGCATATAACAGTCAGCTAGCTGCTACCTGGAGAATACCTTCCTACAGTAAGTTTTTAAAATTTAAAAAAATCTTATTTTAAAAATTTGACTCTGTCATCTTAATTTCCAAAGGAAAGTCAAATTGGATATTGCATGTAAGTGCTTTTAAACATTCTATAGTATATAGTAAATGTTCAATAATTATTGGGTGTTATTGCCACAATTGTCACTATTATTTTTTATCATATTTCCCAGATAATCAGTAAGATTATCTGTAAGATTTCTGTAAGAAATCAGTAAGATTGGAGGTAGGGAGGAAATACAGGTGTTTTACTTACTTTGAAATTAAAATGTATACGTATTAGAGAATGCTCCCAGATCCTCAACCGTCCTATGTCCTTTCACAGAATTTTGGACACACACCCAGGTATCAACACGAGATGTTATTACTTTTTTTTAATCAACTTCAGTTTTAAGTTGCTCTCCTGCTGCCTTCTGAAACTTAGTTTTGTAAGAATTCTTCAATAGATGCTAGTCCAAGGGCGGCGTGAAGCCTCTGGAAGACTTTGCAGAAAATCTTCAACTTCAACTGGCTGAGGGATGGAAGTGATGAATCTGAAACCCAGAGAGTGTGACTTTCATACAGAAATAGGACTCACTTGGCAAGTCACAGTTTCTAGATGCTAACTGGTTCCTTTAAGGTACTAGACCAAAATGTGGGGTAGGTATGATAAAACAAAGAACTTACTCTGAGTGGTGTGTTAGTTAGGGTCCAGTCAGAAGAAAGAAACCACAGAATAATTTAACAGAAAAGTTTAATATAAACATTTATTAACAAGAGATTATAGTAACAGGGAATCAACTAAGAGTAAGAAAGAAAGAACCATAGAGGATACTCTAGGGCTGAGGGAGAGTCTCTAAGAAGGAAACAAGATTTCAAGAGAAGAATCTTTCCCAAGGCTGGCATTTGGATGTTGTCCACCAACATGTGAGTGAAGCTCACTGAATGACAAAGTTCACTAAGTTGTTCTGGGCCAAAGCTGGTCCACAATTAGGATGAGGCTGATTGGTGGAGAACTACTTGCTGGAAGACTGATGACATTTTCTAAGAATGCCTATGGGGGTTACTGTTGGCTTTCTGGAGAGTCAGCTGGGGTACCAGCTAGAATCACCAGAAAGTTTCTAGAAGCTGCTTAAGGAGGTAATCTGCTATGGATTCCCTGAACACCAAAAATATCAATAGGCTTCATGCCCCAAAGCTCCCTCTCTTCATCCTAACCTAATCCTATCGAAAACACTTAAGGGATTTTACAATCTCAAGCTTCTTAGCAATGCGGATACGGATTTGCTTGGTTTTCATACTGTAGACAATGGGGTTCATGAGAGGTGGGACCAGCAGATACACATAAGACATGAGGAGGTGTACAATACGGGGCAGATGTTCACCAAAGCGGTGCACAAGAGACAAGCCAATCATGGGGATGTAGAAGAGTAACACAGCACAGATATGAGAGACGCAGGTGTTGAGGGCCTGAAGTCGCTCCTGGCGGGAGGCAATGCTTAGCACAGTGCGGAGGATGAGGGCATAGGAGAGGAAGATGAGCAGTGAATCCACACCAACAGTGCAGGCCACAACAAAGAGCCCATAGATGTGATTGACAATGATGCTAGAGCAGGCCAACTTCATGATCTCTAGGTGCAGACAATAGGCATGGGCCAGCACATGGGAGCGGCAGTACTGGAAGCGTTTAAGGAGGAATGGCAGGGGCAGGATGAGCAGGGCACTTCTAAGAATTGAGCTCAGCCCCATCTTGATGATACGTGCAGGTGTCAAGACCATGGAGTAACGCAATGGATTGCAAATGGCCACATAGCGGTCAATGGACATGGACAGTAGAACTGAAGACTCTACCAGTGACAAGGTATGGATGAAGAAGAGCTGAGTGAAGCAGGCGGGGATGGTAATCTCTCTGACATCAAACCAGAAGATGCCCAACACAGTGGGCAGTGTAGATAGGCAAAGGCCCAAGTCTGTCAGGGCCAGCATGGCCAAGAAATAGTACATGGGTTCATGGAGGGTGACATCGGTATGGATGATGTGGAGGATGGTAAGGTTTCCTACAATAACTGTCAAGTAGATGGAGCAGAAGGGAATAGAGATCCAGCCATGGAGAGCTTCCAGACCTTGGAAGCCTGTTAGGAAGAAAGTGGCTTTTTGGAGGCTGCCATTATAAGATATTGTCATGGCTTTATGGTCTTGGATTCACCAACCTGCAATCTAGAACGGGATTCCTGGAGAGTGACAGAACTGAATTCTCACTCACCTGAGCATCCTAGGACCAGTGAGACAGGAAGTTCTGCAGATGAAATGAGAAAGAAAAGAAAGAATTGAGAGATTTGATCTATAAGGCTTTTCTGGAAGATCTAGGATGGGGATTTTTACAGGGATTTCTATAGTCTATGAATGCTATATGATTCAGCTGTATGGTGGTATATCTGTCAGTGCTGGACTCTCAGTGGGTTAACGAGGTCACTTCAGATGGGACCTTTTCATATGTTACTCCATGAAAAATATCTTTAATTTAATCACTAAAGCGTTCAGAATCTGCATCATATCTATGAGGAATTGGCACTATACACCATTTTGCATAATTGTGTACTAGGATCAAGTGCATATCATATGCCTTCAAATGTATTTTGAATTTGCCTGGGGATTGTGCTTTATTCCACAATGCCTAGCTTACAAGGGAATGCAGACAAGCACTGACCAAATGCTTGTTGAAATCCTTGAACTTGTAACTTGTGACCAGAGTGATGCCTTTCCTGAATCTACATAAAAGTCTTTGGTGACCAAGGATGCAAATTGTGCTGTGCGAATCTGAAATTTGGAACTGAAAAATGTTTGAGAAGAAGCAGGATCTTCAGAAAGCAAATAATTCTAGAAAAGGGTACATTAGGGCTTAGTTCTGAGAGGATGAAAAGAGATGTAAGTTTCCAACATCAGGGCAGTTAAGCTGGGGCCAGGTGTAGAGATGAGGATGCAGAGGAGGTAGGCATCAGATATGAAACAGAAATGATGAAGAGAAACCTAAAATGGTCAAGAAAAACCTCTAATCTTTAGCTTACAATGAGGAAACTAAATCTTCAGGCTTTCCGAGTAAGCTATGCCTTTGGGGTTTGGATCAATATGCCACACAGGTATAGATCTGTCTCTGTAATACCTGAACTGGGCTCTATTTAACATCTTTCTTCAGAACTTTTATTCAGTTACATTTATTTCAAGCCGCACAATAATGGATTCTATGTATATAAAAGCTTAAAACAGCTAAAAGAGACAGAGAATGGAGACTGAGGGAAACAGGAAGAAAATAGTAGTGTATTATAATACTAAAGTCATCTCACCACTGTGGCTACAAAAAAGAGATAAAGTAGGATGAGGGTTTCTATAAAGGCATTGCACTTGTGATAGCGAGGTCATCTTCAGTTGTCTTTTGTTTTCTTTCTTTCTTTTTTTTTTTTAGAAAATATTTCAATAGTTTGGAGAAAAATTATAAGGGCTTAAATTATCAGTAGGTGGGAAGGAATAAGTAAAAAGTGTATATAATTTGTAGTTTTCCTCTAAGACAAAATCTACAGAATGAGTGAAGATGTCAGGATATTTTAAGGAGGGGAGATGGGGAGTTCAGGGTCCTCTTTCAAAAGGCTTTTGTTATTTTTTTTCTCAGTAAGATGGAGGGATATTGGAGGGGCGAAAATAAAGAAAGAAGAAAAGTTCTTACCCAGCTTTCACTATTCATGCTTCAAATCAAAGCAAGTAATGGTAAGATCATGATGCAATAATTAATGTGATAATAAAACCCCTCTTATTTTTTGATTCTGAAGGAAAAGTGGGGAAGTAATGTGAATGGAGGAAAGAAGTGGAGACAGAAAGTAACGAGCTGTGAAGGAAAAGGGAATATCACAGCATTTGCAGAGCATGCTGTGGGTGACACATGAGGACAAGGCACTCTCACTCTGATATCAAGGCAGAAAATGACAGGGTGCCTGGGTGGCTCAGTTGGTTAAGTGCCAGACTTTGGCTCAGGTCATGATTTCACGGTTCGTGGGTTCGAGCCCTGTGTCAGGCTCTGTGCTGACAGCTCAGAGCCTGGAGCCTGCTTCGGTTTCTATGTCTCCCTCTTTTTCTGCCTGTCCCCTGCTCACGCTCTGTCTCTCTCTCGAAAATAAATAAACATTTTTCAAAAATTTAAAAAGACAGAAAATGGCAATATAGTTTTTAAAAAGGAATGATAAAAAAGGGAAAATTTTCCATCATTTAAGGGGAGACTCAAACAAGAGTTTAAATATATGTGCAGCTTTTTAGCCGGCAGACTCACAGTGAAGCTGGTTTCCATCCATTTTCGTCCAGCCATTTCAGAGTTTGTGACAGAGAAGAAACGTTTAGAGGTGATTTATTTCACTCCCGTATCTCCAGGCAGGGAAGGATCATTCTGCTGCTTAGTGAGAAGTTGCATCTGTCATAAACCACGCTGCTATTATCTTGCCTTCCAGATATATTACTTGCATATTATATTTTGGGTACGGGTAAGAGGCAAGTGTGCCAGGTATGGGAGGGAAAAAAATTATGAAAGCCCTAACTAGCACTAGAGAAATGGAATTGCTGTAAGACTGACTACAGACTTCGAATCCTGGTACAGATTTGGAACTTAATAAAGTTTGCTGAATGAATGCCTAAGTGAACGGTTGGAAAAAACAGATGAGATGGGATTAAACAGAATTTTTAGTGCAGTGACTATATTTTCTTCTCCAAGTCACTCACCTCCAGATTAATGGATGGGAGAAGTGTCAGCTGGTTCCTCCACTAGACTATGCATACATCCTTGACCCTCCCTTCAACTCTAATTTATTAGCATTACAGAGATGTCATCCTAGGGTCTATGGCAGAGAACAGCAGAGATGGGCTGAACAGCAATTTCAATGGCATTCTCACTCCCTCTAATTCCTCATATAATTGTACACAAGCTGTTCAGGATGTTTAGCATTTGTGTTGGTGACCATCTGCAGATCTTCTGGCAATATACACTGGAGCGTACCAACGGCTGGAGACACCAGGCAGAACTCAGGGTGAGTGCTAACAGCTACGAGAATACTCTCTGCTTAAAACACAGAGGCTTTTTTGAAGAGTCCAGAAGCTTCTCCCTAGGGGAGAAGCTCAGGGACTTCTGCTGAGACTGAGAATTTCCCAAAGAGTTCTCAAGATGTTTAGCTGAGAACGGAAGCCATGAGAGGCTAAGAAATCCCAGTCCTTTATGTGGGCAAGGGATAGCTTCAAGATGTTAGGGTGCTTCTAGTTCTAGATTTCATTTTCTGAAATGAGATAAGCAAGATATAGCTAGGCTTGGAGTACAGTATTACAAAAAAGAGTGTTTTGATTCGGATAAAAAGATAAAACTGATTCCAATCTCTGATAATTTCTGACCATGTGACCATGTAACCTAGGAAAAATTAATGTCCCAGAAAAATCATTTCCTTATGTTCTAAAAATGGAAAATTTCCCTCTTTTTTTTTTTTTTTTTTTTTTTTTTACTCAGACTGTAGTACTATCAGGCATGTTTTAGAATCATCTGCCAGTGTAATTTGGTTTGAGTTTAGGGAGAAGAAAAGGTCCACCTTGGCCTTTAGTCATAAACTATGTGTTTCTTAATTACTACTGGCCATTTCCTGTGTATTCTCCACTGTACACGTGTGGTTTGGGACATAATTCAGAAACTTGTACTCCAAATACCAGCTTAATACCTTAAAATAGTTCATTAGCCCATTTTAACTACAAATATGTATATCAGGAGATTTTCCAGCATAGATTTAAACAATTAGAAGGAACAAATACCTGAACAGAACAGCTGATACTTAATGGATACTCAGTAAACACAATTATTAAAATAATTAGTAGGGTAACTGTGATTCTAGTTTGCCAAGAATGGGCCTAATTTACACTTATTGATTTGGTTTCCCAACCAGTTTGGAAAAACAAGCTGGGATGGGTTGGTGGACCTCCACTTCAAACTCCAAGTTTCTGCTGCACATTCATCTAATAGCCTGTGCAATACATGGGCAGTGACCACAGTGATCCTACTTTAACTCATTTATAAATCTGAAAGATGACCCATCTCTCTTTTCTTGACCATTCCCAAAGTAATGTTAGTAAAGCTGCAAAGACAGTAGGCAGGGTCGTTACTGGCATGCAAGCCCATAGACACAGTTGGCTCCTTGCAGGTTTAGACAATGGTACTTGACAATGATCCCCCTAACAGAGGCTTTTTTTAAAATTATTTTTTTATTTAAAAAAATTTAATGTTTATTTATTTTTGAGAGAAAGAGAGACATAGAGTGTGAACAGTGGAGGGGCAGAGAGAGAGGGAGACACAGAATCCAAAGCAGGCTCCAGGTTCTGAGCTGTCAACACAGAGCACAATGCAGGGCTTGAACTCACAAAGCACGAGATCATGACTTGCACCAAAGTCAAATGTTCAACCAGTTGAGCCACCTAGGTGCCTCACCACTTCCAGATGCTTTTTATTGGAGCCAACCACTTGTGTCACTCCTTGTGCGAAAGCCTGTGGAATAAATGAAGTCATGAGGCTGCCAGCAGCCTGGGATCAATAGGAAATACTTTGGTTAAGTGATCCAGAAAAGAAAATGTTCAAGGAATAAAGACTGATGAATGTTTAGTGTTTATCACTTCTTGTAATCATATAACTTATTTCATTGTTTGATAAACTAATTTTTAATAAGCCCACTGGCAGCAAAGATCCTTCAAAAATTAAAGTTCATACTTTTTAAGTTCTCTGTTAGTGCTTCTTAGGAAATTTGATAATGAATTCATAACTTGAGCAAAATCTTTGCAAATGTGTGACATCACTATAGTGGCTAACTTGATAGAATTGATCCCATAACAACCAGAAGAAAAAAGATACTAATATCTACTTCTAAAGTAGGTGAATTCTCTTAAGAACATTGTATGTGATGGTGATAATTTACCATACATAGATACTGAAGGCAGATTTCATGGTACATTCTCATGATTTTTCAAAAAGATTAAATAATTGTCTATTCAAAATAAGTGTATTCCCTTTTTATTACACATTTTTCAGTCATTGTGAAAAGGGACAGGATAGCTGTTACAGTGTTGATTTCATTAGCATAAGCTAAATTATGTTCATTTTAAATCACTATTCAGATGCTTTA